TTTAAGAATACATATGCATTGTTAGCCTCCACAATAGTCTATGATCAGAAGTTCTACAGCTTAATCTACAGGTCAAGTACCATCTGCTTTGGTTGTTCTGAGCCTGCAACTTGCCATTTTAATTTGATGCGCCTTCACACGGCGAGAGGGTGAAAAATCATCCCTTGCTTATCCTCTGTGCTACTCCCAATTTTATAAGCCCTCATCATATCTATCTTTGTTAGCTCTGTTCTTTTATTAACAGTTTTCCGTCATATAAGTTCATTAGAGCTTAAGTAAACTGTCCAACAGTAGTAAGTGCCAGCAGAGGTACAGGGCTGAAGCACTGGGGAGCAAGATATTTTGCTTTCAGCAAGTGAGTCTGTTCAGCTCAGCTTTACATGAAATTATGACCCCCAGCCTATCCTTGGGTCAGCTCAACAATATTTTCTTATCTGCTCAGAAACATTTTCCTTCCTGAAGGAAATTCTATTGGAATTACTAAGAGCAGTGTCCTTCCTTTCAAGGATGTTTTGCACCAGAGGAGGGTGTCCAGTATCCCAGAAGATGTAAAGGTCAAGACAGCAGGTCTCTGAAATGGAAACCTTCAATTTGAAACACAACTTATAGCTTTAGGTTCACCCAAAACTTATTGAAAGAATAAGCAGCTTTTTAATCTGCTCCAGAATGGCAGACATGAAAATGTAATAGGAATGAACAAAGACTGCATGTAGCATGACTAAGTATGAGGCAAGAGGCACTAACAACAATGGGAAGCGCTTTTATCCATCAGCTCCCTGCTCCCCAACATACGCTCCTGCCACTTGCCTTTTGTCAGCTCCAGCAAGAAAGTTGTGCTAACACTAGGTATTAGGCTGCAGTAATGTTGCAGAGTTCACTAGTACATGTTACTTCAGTAAAAGCTGAATGAGCAACAGTGGCAGGCAACCTTGAGCTTCTTTCAGCAGCAGAAAGCCATAGGTGCCTTTGCTAGGATCTACGATCACAGAGGCAGCAACAGAAACATTCCCAGGCTGCTGAGTTGATGACCATGCAGGTACTAGAAAATACAGGAAGATAAATATCAGTGACCTCTTCAAAGATGAAACTAATCCAGGGCCCCTCACGCAGCAGTTTCTTTCATCAAAGACTCTTGGACACCATCCAGACTGCTCACTTAAGGATGGTACACCATTACAGCTGGGAAAGCCAGCTGGGAAAGCCAAAAACTGATGCATCACAGTGGTGACAAACCCCTTTCAAATAAATCACTTAAGTTACTTCAAACATAAGTCATTGCTATAAAATTTAACTTCTAACTGTAGAGGATAAAGAGCAATCACATCAAAAAGTGAGGAGCAACAAATTAACCAGCATTTTAGAACTGTAGTTTTTGTTTTGAAGCCAACCTTGTGCTCAAAGATAGTACTATTGTACAGACAGTAGAGCTTCTGTGCCAGATCCTCTTTATTTTTCTTGAAATACTTCACATAGTGGGAAGCCGGATTTGAGAGATCTTGCAAGAAACAGCCAGGTACTGAGCACACTCTAGGCCTGCAAGAAAAGCCATAAAGCAGTTTACTTAAGTACAGAGATACCACATTGAAAAATAACGGCCACTGTATAACCAATAAAGATTTCTGGCGTGCTGCCACTGGCATAAACCTCCCCTGACTCTTCACTAGCTTGCCCTCACACGGCCACTGGGGTGCACATGCTCATACAGTCTTCTTCCCCCTTCAGAGGCGTGAAAGGGCAGAGCTGTTGCAACAGTTCTGCATTTATTTCATTAATTAAGAAAGCTAGATTATGAGGACTCCTAAGTAGGAAAAGAGGGTAGCTCAGATCTCCGCGACACAGCAAGCCACAATTATATCAAAGCTTGATCAATATATGAACAGCCCTAACACAATCACCCACAATGAAGGTATATTTTCAGAAACACAACCAAAGACGTTCTAGGAATACTCAGGAATTCATTCAGGGGATGTAGATATTCCACTAGAATGACTAAATCCAATACTGCAGCATTCTGACAAAACATCAGCTTTGAAAGAGATCATCTGAAGGTTTTGTACTAGTATACACAATTATAAAATGACTAAAGAAAACATCACATGGCTAAGAGGCAGAATAAAGGCAGCTATTAGAAATGAAAAAGACATTCTTCTGAAAAGCTAAAGCTGCATCCACATATAGAAAAAGAAACAGGAATTATAAAGATAGAGGTCAAAAATATCAAGACAAGCTTGTGAAAAGGCAGGAATTACTAATAGAATCAGTTTTTATATATTTTCAGAGGCAGGCAGCTAGATAGATAGAATCTGTATGGTCAGTGGATGTTAGAAATATGCTGTGCCAAGACAAAGAGCAAGAGAGTTAACATTTACAAAGAAGATTCGACATTTATCAGATTTATTTGTCATCAATTCCTCTAAGTGGAGATTAGATTACAGTCTCCGTGAGACTGAAAGCTTTGATTTCCAGCTACCTAACTATTAACGACTGCTGAATCAGTAGCAGAAGTTTCTAGGCACCAGAAAAATCATAACATCATCCTAGGCAAAATGCTTAGTATCTCTTTGTTCATCTATTAATGGTCCTAGAACATAGTAAAAATGGAGAAATACTTACTTTGTCTCTGTCTTTGCTGACTGTGAGCAACTGACCAATTCATTCCTAGGAATTCTTGCAGAAGCTGTTATCCTAGGTGTTTCTTGAAGTGAAATGGAGCTTTGTGTCTTGACTCCCTCCCCTTTCAAGGACTGGGCATCTTCACAGGGTGGCTTGATGTTTTCTAGTTCAACAGAAAGAGTCACAGAATTACACACTGTCAAACAAACAAGAGCACAGACAGCAACCACGTAACAGATAACTGTGAAAAATGTCAAATATTTCACACCTCAGTGTACACACTCTTACTGTGCATACTTGAACGCAAAGGCTTTTACAAATGATGGAAAGGTAATTTGCTGTTATATGCTACAAAAATTACCATTCAATGAAGGAATGGCAGACTCCAAACTTAAAAACATTCAGCTAGGAGGAAGCAGAGGAAAAAGCATTTGTGACCTCACTCAGGCATTTCACCAATTGAAAATACATCACCAGCGCATTGGGAGCAGTAATGCAGAGACATCATTTGAACAAAAAAAACAAAACAAAACAAAAAAAAAAACCAAACAAACCAAAAAAGCCAAAAACACACAACACTTTCTAGCTTTCTGTCATGTACTGTAAGTCACACTGTTTGTTTCACAGGCAAGTTCTGTTCAGATAGCTGCCTATTTGCCTAGTCCATACCTGGACAGATTGCTAAAATGACTTACCTTCACACCAGAAATCAAGGACTGCTTCAAGATTTGTAGTTTCAGATGTTCTCCCTGCTGGCTTTTCTATACTGTTTCCCTATTTGGGCTAGTTCACTGTTCAACCATATATAGAGAAGCCAATGCAGCTTCCAGATCACTTCTAGAACATGTTTTCTAGATCACATTGACATACTCTCATTAAAAAAAAAACCCACAGCCCTTTCCCAGGGCATATTTCTATGCTCTCAGCCATCCTCTTCCATAGGTCTCCCTGCCCTGAGCTAGTCCTTGTTAGTGATGAACGCACCTTGTGTTTACTCTTCTAGAAGGAGACTTGTTTTAACCTGCTCTTAGTCAGCAATAAGCCTTTTCCCCCTTTGCAATCTTTCAGTTGGAGCAGTTAGTCAAAGGAGAGAAGGAGCTAGTTTTTAAGAAATTCTCATTATAAACTGTATTTTAAATAAAATAAATTATAAATCCAAATGCTAAACTAACAGCATCTAAACTGCTCAAAATTTCAGTCTTACCAAAATGACAGCTTCACATTATTGCTATATGTTAAAAAAAAAAAATTCAAAAACACCAGTTACATGTCTTTTCAGAACAATTTTAAGAACTAAAAAATGCCTACAAATATAGGAATTATAAAAACAAGCAATAGTGAAAAAACTTAAATCTTGATACCACATGACCAGTAGAATCACTTTCCAGACTTCTCAGAGGAATAATTTCTGACTGCATTGAATTCAATTGCAAGATGCCCAGTTCTAAAGCATATGCCACACAAATGAAAATAATTAGGCAATCAGCACTACCATTGCTGCCAATAGGCAACTTGCAAGTTAATGAAGAACAACTGCTTACCTATTGTTCTTGGCTGGTAGACAGTTTTACTTGTGCTTAAGATTGGGTTTTGGGGTATACTTTGTTTCCTTATCCGTTCTATTAATGATTCAAATTCATCATCTGAGGTATCTGATTCTTCCCCTGTACTGTGTCGTAGTGCCACAGTTGGCACTTTATTTTCTGTACTCTCTTCACAGTTTCTTTCTTTCCTTCTAACAACCAAGTCTGGACTGCCTCTGGAAATTGACCCTTTCAGATTTTGTGGAGATAGGAGCTTTATGCACCTCGGACTCTCTTTCAAGTCTTTCACTCCCCCTTTTTGGTAGTCATGCCACGAACTTTCTACAAAGACAGTGTCTTCAATATCACTTGAAGCCTCTGGATACTGCAATTCTTGGCAGCAAGTGGTTTTCTTTCCAGAAGTCATCAGCTTTTTTGGGGTCTGAATATCCTTCTGTGCTGCAATTCAAAATAAACAGCTTAAAGGTTTGGCAATTTCATTTAGGAGACCTGCCTTTGTTTTAACACAAAAAAAAGATATCCCTTGAAAGATAGGAAAACACAACAAATAGATATCTTTGCATTTTCTTCGTTACACTTTGTTCATTTACCATCATAATGAAAGATATATTAAAACAAAGTGGCTTAAATGTCATGTATATATACATCAGCCATCAGGCCTGGCAGTCCTGAACAGGTAGCTAGTGCTAGCATAACCTTCACTCCCAGAAACAAAAGCTACGTGCAGGTAAGAATAAGGCTGAACATTTCATATTAAAGTTTTATAAAGCCACCAAGTGAAGGGTGACTTAAAAAACGCTTGGCCTTAGCTTACTGTACCATAGCCTACAGCACAAAGCCCACACCTGCCAACAAACAAGGCTTCTGGCATCTCAGATTTGACCTATCAAGATCAAGGGATCATGGCAGGTCTATTGGCGATTTTTTTTTTTTTTTTTTTAAATGATGCTTTTGGTCCACTTTGCTTCCCCCATTTCCCCTCCAGAAACCACTCCATTAGCTTTTTACAGCATACAGCTGGCATACATGTTTCAGGGATGACATTCACACCAGCTGCAAGAGATCCTGCCCTTCCTCATCAGCAGTCAGAGCTTCTCCAGGTTCACATGAGATCACTGTTATCATCTCTCATCTACTAGAATTCTATCACCTGATCACCGGCCTAGTGGCTCTGTCAAGAATTCCAGAGCCCTATTCACTCCTTCTAGGAGTCCAATTTGCTCATATCAATGAGAAGTGTGCCAGACAGCTGTAATCTGTCTCTGAATGTTAGTAAACCAAGGCACTTTCCATCCCTTGAGGGAAAACAGGGATCCTCTGCTCAGATAAACACTGAAACCCTTCAAGTCATGGTTTGCCAGAGCATCTTGTAGCCAGCATTAACATATAGAACCTTGGCTAAAGAAGCTCCAAATTAAAGGACCTTACCTGTGGCTCTGCAACACCCATAGGCAAGACTGGCCTGATTGCCAATATCTGCACCAAATTCAAAGTATCTAGCTTAACAGTTACCATCTTTCTTTACTCAGTGTATTTTGGCACAGAATGAGCTGGTACAGCCATAGGAACACTGTTTTGCATATCCTAAGTCCTCCCTCCACAGTGATGATCCCATATTTGCAGCTCAGTATTATCAACCATGAGTTACTACTCTTCACAGACCCAAGTACTAATAAATAGTCCACAGTATCTGCAGATCTACAGCAATGCTTCAAAATGTACACTTGTCAGAAAAGCATGACCATGCTTACCCCCAGAGGAAACAGAAAAACCTCTCCTCTTACCCTCAAGAGACAAAGTAATCTTATGTTTAAGAAATGCTCTCAGAAATTTATGAGCTCAGTGAATGCTCTTTCCACCCATTGAAATTCCTGCTTCATATTTGCTGTTGGACAATTACTTGCCATTCTTTGTTGTGCTGTTTCTCACTTTAAAGTTCAAGAAGAAATCATCCGAGTCATCAATTAAGTCCTTCAAACTGTAAAAAAAAAAGCAAATAATGTGAAAAAAAGGTAGGCATAAGCAGGAAAACAGAATAGTAAGTTTGCCTTACTAAAAAAGCAAACCAAAAAGCCACCCAATATAACATTAGCAGTTGTTCACAGCAGATATTACCAACTATGTCCGTTAATAGGAATGGCAATAGAGCATATACAACTCCAAACATCCCATTTTATATCTGACCTGAACATACAGATTGAACATATAACATTTCTGTCTGCACTCACTCCTATACACGATATTTGCCTATGAATCACTAAAAGTTTTGATTGTTTTCCTGTATTCTGAAAAGTAGATGTGTTACAGAAAACTAATATATAAGCATTGAAAAATCATTAATTACAGCACCCACCTTGCATCCACCTTTTTAGTAAGAGATTTAGGAGTTTTCATTCTAGCTAAAACTGAAACAATAAAAGATTAATTAAGGACAAGTTTTTGTTTCTTTTGTTATGCATTTTTAAGATAAAAGTTTGCAACTAGTAAAAATTCAGTCTAAAGTTTTAAAAAAACCCCACAAACATAAGAATCCTTTACCTATAATTCCAACTCTCAACACCTCAAAACTGACAGCAGCTGTCTAGCATTTCCTTCATTATTCAATCCTTGCCCAGCACAAAGACAGATAATAACTGCTGTTATGACTCTTGCAGTATCCAGTATAGCTCCTCATATGTGGATCATTGGGGATGGAATTGAATGGGTTTATCAGTATTTTCTCCAAGAATTTCAATGACTGCAGGTAATTTTCCTACTACAAAGAGGTGTCCATATGCTTATTCCACTAAGTGGAGTACTGCGTCCAGCTCTGGAGCCCTCAGCACAAGAAGGACATGGAACTGTTGGAGCGGGTCCAGAGAAGGGCTACTAAAATGATCCGAGGGCTGGAGCACCTCTCCTATGAGGACAGGCTGAGAGAGGTGGGGTTGTTCAGCCTGGAGAAGAGAAGGCTGCGGGGAGACCTGATTACGGCCTTTCAGTACTTAAAGGGAGCCTATAGGAAAGATGGGGAAAAAACTTTTTAGTAGGGCCAGCTGTGACAGGACAAGGGGTAATGGTTTTAAACTAAAACAGGGTAGGTTTAGACTGTATATAAGGAAGAAATTCTTTACAATGAGGGTGGTGAAACACTGGAACAGGTTGCCCAGAGAGGTAGTGGAGGCCCCATCCCTGGAAACATTCAAGGCCAGGTTGGACGGGGCTCTACGCAACCTGATCTGGTTAGCGGTGTCCCTGCTCACTGCAGGGGGGTTGGACTAGATGACCTCTAGGGGTCCCTTCCAACCCAAAACATTCTATGATTCTATGATTCTGTAAGTGACTCAAAAAAATGTTCAGAAAAAATGGTAATACCACCACCTCACTGTAGAACTGCAATTCAATACTATTTCTCAGAAATAAATGCATTTTAATCACTGCAGGAATATTGTGATAACTGCTAAACAGGAAAACAGTCCAGGCAGCAGTACTGCACATGCTTGAAGTAGAGATTAGAGAGAGTATCAGAAATGCCATCAAAATTTCACCCATCTTTATCATTATGAGAGATTCGGGGAAGTTGAAGGGGAACAAATCTCATTAAAGCATAAATCAGGCTGGGGAGAAGGGAAACAACTGTCCCTTCTTCAGAACCTAATGGGCCAAAATAGCAGTTAAGGAGCATTTGTTCTCACAATCTGAAGCTGCATACGTGACTTCAATGGGATTATAAACGTTTGTACTATGCCATAAGCCTAAAAACAGAAGATAGATTTGCTTGATAAAGCTTTTATGGCTGATTGGTAGATTCTGCTACTAGGAAGAGCAGCTGAGCTACTCCCAGGTGCAACCCTGAAAGCACACTCTAAGTTAAAAAGCATAGGATGGGACCCAGTGTTGTCCTCTTTAAAGAAGAGCACAAGGCAGTGGTGGGAGAGAATTCAAGACCTTGAAGCTCAAAAAGTATTTGGAGCAGTAAGTTATTTTCAGTTTTAGCACCCAGTAACCTTCACTACTACCTTCATTACAGAAGTAGTAAACACAGCATCTACTGCCTTCCAAGCCACCACATTAAGGTGACTCACTGAAGCACGAACAGCCAGAAGCTTTCCTAGATGATTGTAACCAGTGTTCCTAGACCATGAAGCAGCACTAAACTGGTACGGCTGACAGCTAGTCACAGAAAACTGAAAGCTTACAGAAAAATATGGACTTGCTACTTAATAAATCAGATTTTTTTCATTTCTTGTTACATATTTTCATTTCACTTTTTTTCTTTCCTACATCTGCACTATAGAGATAGTATGGCAAGGGAATAGCTTTGCAAATATTCTGCCCCAAGCAGTTACTCTCAGCTACCTTCCATGAAAGAGCTGGCCCACGACTTTGGCCTCAACAGCCTCCCGGATGGATGCGGGGCCGGGGGGAAGAGCAGACTGTCAACTACTTAAGTTTAAAAAAATAAAGTGAACAATGACCTAATGAATGGACAGTATTGAAATATTTATCAGATTTAAAAGCCCAGAGGCAGTGCAGGAACTATACAGAGCACATTTTAATTCAACTGGATGCAAGTAGTAAGGCTTGACAATGCTTAAGATCATTCACATGGCACTAAGCTAGAGCACAGCATGAACTCTAAAGCAACGAGCAATCTGCTTTAAAAGCAGCTAGGACTAACATGAGAGTGATATGCAAAAAGGCAAAATAAACAGATATGGCTTGTTACCATCTCTGTTCAAATGTTGAATATGTAATGAGGAACACATTGAAAGAAATACAAACTTTTAAATTAATTACTGGTCTAAAACCCATTTGAGATGTGGTAGAGCCATGATAAATCCATCTAAGGATCAAGTTAAACAGAATTCTTGCAACAGGGGGGGAAAAAAGTGTGTACTCAACTAACCTAGCACAAAATGATAGTCATATGGCTATTATCAAAAAGAAAAATAGGAATATTAGGTTTTGTACGTACAGGCTAAACAAAGACAGGAATTTACACACAGAAGAAGCCACCATGTAAAATTTAGTATTCAATTCCATCTTACCAAGACCTTGAGCCACTAAAAACCAAAACCATCCCTGACTGGCTAAGACGCGTGCAGCAAAAGCAGTGAGACGTAAGAGGGAACTCTGAGTAGTTTAGACATGTGTTTGGAACAGTAGAAGAAAAAAAATAGAAAAAATGTTTATTCAAAGATGCTCCCGTAGACTAAGAAGGAAGCAAGTGAGTGACAGGGAGCAGACAAAACTGAGGCAACAAGAAAAAATAATGCAAGGCAAAAAGCATCCAAGATTGAGACATGAGATTCAAGAACACTCGCTGTGGCATATAGCTACCAACACTGAACCGCAAGGAGAAAACTTACTTTGCAGCAGGAGCAATGAAAGAAAATTATGCGTAAAAACTACTTCACTATAACTAGATACAAACATGTCCTTTTCATACTCCTTCAGAAAAACTAACATGTGCTATTACTTACACATTTCAAATTCATCATCACTGCTGGAAGAGAAGTATAGGGCATAGCTGCAAAAAATGAAATGCAGAATAGTATCAAGAACATCAGGGCCACAGCAAGAAGATCTGCATCTCTACTAGTCTGAAATACCTGTGAATACCAAGAACCAGTTATATACTGAAAAACCACTAAACATCTCAGGCTGAGTTATTTTAAATTATTTAAAATAGAAATATTAAAGCTTGTATATTAAAATTTGTAACAACCATGTATGTTCAATACTCAAGTAGCAATCAATCACTGTCAAAATGTGAAAGACTGAACTGTTTGGACACACAGGCTTAGGACATTACATTGTTTTAAGTTCAAGTTGGGTATGAGAAATCAGAAGGGATAGAAAGCTTGTTTCTCATCTTATGCATGGTAAATGATCAGGCAGAGAAAGGTGTATTTTATTAAGCCCGAAACCTCAAAACATGCAACAATGAGAAACAAGCTGCTTTCACATAAAGTACACTTTAATGTAGTTGCCATAAATATTCAGCAAACTGCAGTACCTTTCAGAAAGCTATTTTAAGACACAGAATGGAGGTATTACCACTTGGACTGCAGTTCTTACGCAAATATAGAGGCAAGCCATAATACTCTTACAAAGTTATTTCATTTTCTGACAAGAAAGCAAACATTAAGAGCTTGAAAGATACACTACCCAATTGCTTAAAAATATGAAGCCATTTTCTTTTGATTAGTTACCCAAGCCTTAAAGACTAGAATTCCGATGCTTGCTAACACCTACCAATTTCATAAAACAATTGAAGGCGTAACCTAAACTTATATTTAGATGCGATCAATAAAAACAACACAGGACACGAGGGATGGGGCCGCTGCCCCCACCGAGCGCCGC